GCCCTTTCCTTTCCCCTAGAAAAGGGGGGGCCGTCTCACCCCGAGCCCCCTTAGAGACACCCCCCCTCCCAAAAGCCATGTCCATCCAGCCCTTCCCCCCAAACCTAGCACAAAATGGGGTTCACAAGCCATGGTCGGGGTCCGGGGGGCAGAAATGGATTTTCTTGGCAATAAGCGGACTCTGGGACTCCGGCCCCACACCCCAAAATTGAAGCGCTTCCGTGAACACCCCCGTCCTCCACAGGGGGAGGGGAACAGGCGGGATCCCTCATAAGCACTTTGGTTTTACCGCCTGCAACCTCACTGTGCCCGCCCTGCACCATGCACCTGCCCCTGGTCTAGCTGGGCCCATCGCAGGGGGCAGCACTTGGAGGCATCTCTGGCACTTGGGTGGGACCAAGTAGATGCCCCTATAGACCCTTCCCTCACCTTCCTCCCCAGTCCGGATTCCATTCTTTTCACCAGCACCCATCGCCCAAGGGGTACCGAGCGGGGCAAGGGGTGTCCAGTCCAAGCCCACCCCCGCCTCGCCTTCCGCAAAACTGTGAGCAAAAAGCAATAGAAGCCTCGCCCCCGCCCTTCCGCAGGATTCGCAGAGTCTGTAGCCTCCTCATCCCAGCCCCTAGACCTCCTGGCTGTCCCCTCCCACCAGACACCACAGTACATTCGGGCGGGGGCGTGACCTCCCCCACCCTGTGATTTCCGTATTGTCAGCCTTTCCAAATACTGACCCGGGAGGGGGACAGCCCCCCACTGGCCTTCAACTCTTTCTGCTTGATAATGTAGCAACCCTGGCCCCCGACCCATGTCTTTCCCTTTTCCCTGTCCCTGACAATAAAGTCTGGATTCGTTGGCCTCTGTCCCCCAGACTCAGACTCTCAATCTTTGCCCGCTGTTTTTGGGAGCAATAACATCGGGATATGGTGAAGGAGACTGGCACACAGGAAATGGGACCAGAAGAAGGACGGGGTTGAGGAACCTGGGGTGGGAAGAGGCAAGATCTGAGGCTTGTGAAAAGCGAGCAGAGACTCATCCTCCCACTCACCCCCACTCTGGTCCAGCTCAAGTGTAAACTTGGCCTTGGGGAATCATTCCGAGCCCAGGTCTCGGGTTGCAGTCACGGCTGTTGAGAATTCTCCACAACTCCACCAGGCGGCGCCAACGACATGGAAAAGGAGTCTCCCCTAGTCTTACTCTCCTGTGGTGTCTCACGATTCTAGGGAGACAGGTCTAGACCCAGTATCAGCCAAAGAAAGAATCAAGGTTTTTGTGCCTCTAGTGAGAAACCCACCCCAGAGACATGCAAGGCATGAGGAGTGGGGGCAGGGAATGGGAATCTGAGCTCTATGCTCTGCTTGGCCCCATGTAAATAGTGTCCTTCGGTTAGTCCTTCCCTCTCTAGTACCCTATTTCCCTATCTGCAAAATGAGCAGGTTTGGGTCTGCCCGGCCGGACGTGGCTCAGCGGTTGAGCGTCGACCTAGGATCCAGGTAATTGGGGTTCAATTTCCTGTCAGGGCACATGCCCAGGTTGCAGGCTCGATCAATGACTCTCTCATTGATGTTTCTATCTCTCTCTCTCCCTCTCCTTTCCTCTCTCTGAAATCAATATATATATATATATTTTTTTTTTAATTTATTGAGACTTTATGTACCCAAGACCAAAAAACTGGAACTATGCATTTACAGATTTGCTAGAATACCTTCTCATCTGGTCCCCTAAAAGATCTGTGGGACAGGAGAGGACATTCTTCTCTCTCACATAATGGGGGTTGGGTGAGTGAGGAAGAGCAGTGTTCCCTTTATCTACAGAATTCAGTTCAACCACACACTCCCAAAAGCAGCCAGGGACTCTGTGACCCCGCGCTCTAGCCCTGCTGGGTGACAAAAAGATCAAACAAAAATGGTCAGCCCAGCCATGGCCGGTGTGGCTCTGTTGGAGAATCCTCCCATACACCAAAAGGTCTTGGATTTGATTCCCAGTCAGCGCACATACCCAGGCTGCAGGTTCGATCCCTGGTCTGGATGCTACGGAAGGAAGGCAGCCAATCGATGTTCCTCTCTCTCTCTTCTCTCTCTTTCTCCCTCTCTCTCCTTCCCTTCCTCTCTCTCTGAAATCTATAAGAGCATATCCTCAGGTGAGGACTGAAAAAAAAAAAAGGCCAGACCAAAATCCACAAACACTGCCCTAACCATCACTGGCTATATAATTTGTGGGGTCCAGTGCAAAATTTAAAAAAGCAGGGGCCTTGTTCAAAAAGGCAGTGATTGCAGAACATTAAACCATGGAGTCCTCCTGAATTGCATCTTTGCTCATTTCCTCTTTATCCCCTTCTCAGTCTTAAAGGAGGAGGGAGGAAGATGGCTCTTAAAGAGGAAGGAGAGGGGAATAGGGACCTCCTGGGTTTGTCAACTGTGAAGTCTAGGGTTGGAGTTTCCTGTGGTTTCAGAAATGGAACCCAACAAGGAGTTTTGGGTTTGCATGTTTGTTTTAGGTATTTCTAGCTAAAACAAACAAACAAACAAAACACACAAAAAAACAGAGACTGTATATCCAGAAGTCTGGCCCTATAGGACAGTGGGTAGAAAAAGACAGGGGCTGGGTCACATGTGGGGAGAGAGAGGGGCTAGAAGAAATTAAGGTTAGAGGTGCTGGGATACTAGAGTCCACCTCAAACCTAGTCTAAAACTGAATTCATGATTTAACCCCTCCCTAAACCTATTGTACTCCCCACAATTCCTATCTTTTTTTTAAATCCTCACCTGAGGATATTTTTCTATTGATTTTCAGATAGAGTGGAAGGGAGAGAGAAAGAGGAGAAACATCAATGTGAGAGAGACAGATCAATTGGTTGCCTCCCACACACCCCTCAACAGGGCCAGAGATTGAGCCTACAACTGAAGTACATGCCCTTGGCCAGAATTGAACCTGGGTGGGACCCTTCAGTTCATGGGCTGATGCTCTAACCACCGAGCTAAAACTGCCTGGGACTCATGTNAGGGAGAGGGGGAGGGAGGGAGAGGGAGAGAGAGAGGGAAAGGGAGAGGGACAGGGACAGGGAGAGGGACAGGGAGAGGGAGAGGGAGATTAAAAAAAATATATATGTGAGAGAGACACATCAATTGGTTGCCTCCAGCATATGCCAGCCGAGGTATGTGCTGGGGATCTAGCCTGCAGCCTGTGGCTGGAATCAAACCCCGGATTCTGCAGGATCTAACCACTGAGCAACTGGGCAGGGCTTCCCTATCTTATTAAGATCACCACCATCCACCTGGAAAATGGATTCATCCTAGTCCTCCCTCTCTCTAACCCTTAATCTAAGAAGTCACTAAGTAAGTCCTATTTGACTTTTTAACAACCTACAGATCCTGATCACTGTTTTCTGTTCCCACAACCGCTGCCCTAACCAGGATTGGCTACATAATTTGTGGGGTCCAGTGCAAAATGAAAAAAGCAGGGCCCCTTGTTCAAAAAGACAGTGATTGCAGAACATTAAACCAAGCACTGGACCTTGGCTCAGTGCGATGACACAGGTAGCATGCCCATGAAGCCTACCCTGGCCTTAACTCAGGCCCTGCCTGTCTCTTGTCAGAACTGGTGCCTCTTTACTGCTCTCATTTCTGGCCTGCATGTTTTCACTCCTTACTCACAGCCATCTTAGTGCCAATCTCTGCATCACCTTCAGGAAAAACCCCAGCTCCTCTCTTGGCTAGTATGGCTCAGTTGGTTAGCATCATCCCATGTACCAGGAGGTTGCCAGTTCGATTCCCAGTCTAGGGCACATGCCTGGATTGTTGGCTCGATCCTTGGTGGGGAGTGGGGGGGCAGCCAATTGATGTTTCTCTCTCCCTTCTTTTCCCTCTAAAATCAATAAAAACATATATATTTTTTTAAACACCCGACTCCTCAGCATGATACACAAGGCCTTCCTTGATCTCAGCCTTGCTCACCACTCCGGGATCTTCTCTGTTGCTCCCTACCTCACACTCTTTTCACTTCTACCTAAAGCTCTGTGACTCGCCCGGCCGGGCGTGGCTCAGCGGTTGAGCATTGACCTGGGATCCAGGCGATCAGGGTTCAATTCCCGGTCAGGGCACATGCCCAGGTTGCGGGCTAGGCAGCTGATCAATGACTCTCTCATCATTGATGTTTCTATCTCTCTCTCCCTCTCCTTTCCTCTCTCTGAAATCAATAAAGACATTTAAAAAAATAAAATAAAATAATAAAGCTCTGTGACTCTATGCATACTGTGCCCTTTGTCTAGAATGTCCTACATGTGCCAGGATATCACATGGTACCCTCTGACTTGAACCATCTCCAAGTCCTGGAAAGAGGGAAAGCAGTGCTCACCCCAAACAAAGCCAACGCTTCTGGGGTGCCTAGACTTGCTCCTGGAACTTGGTCTTGTCCTTTGACCCTTTGAGAAGGGGCCCAGATGTTCCGATGCTCTGTCTCCATGCCTCAACAATTCTCGGCATTGATCTTATGGGTGTTCCACTGTGCAAAGAGAGGAAGGAAACAGAGCTCAGGTATGAGAGAGGAGAAAGGAAGGAATGAAATGGCCTTGGAGTAAGTAGCAGGGGAGTTTCAACAGAGAAGCCCAAGTTTCACTAGTCAAAGAGAACAAGTAGGACCAGAGACAAGGAAGGAAGTGGCTAAGGTTGGGTAACTGAGGAGTTTCTTATTTTTTCAGTCTAGTATAAGAGACATGAAAGCAAGATTCCTCCTGTTTGATGCCTGACTGCCCAGTAGAAAGGACTGCCCTTTGAACGAGTTTGATTTCTCCTCCCACTGGAGAGAGAATTGAAGGCTGGGAGACTCAGGTGAGTAATTTTGTGATGGGTGCACTTTTCTTTCTCTGTCTCTTCGTCTCCCAGGTGGTAAAAACAGAAAAAAAACTGAGACCAGCATGTGTGTGTAGCAAAACAGGGCAGAGAGGACTATAGCAGCATCCTGGATATAGAGAGGGGACTCCTGGGCGGTATTAGGGGACAGGGGAGGAATTAAAAATGTTAGAGGGCACTGGGGTTACTGACAGTATCTGGATAAATATTGAATGAGGCCTTGAGTTTGAAGTGTACAGAGACTAAGAGATATTTAGATAAGAATTTGGGAGAATCTTTGAGAATGGGAAAGGACTAAGAGAGCCTAAGGAGAGGGCTGGGAATCTTGAGATGAGGAGGCCTGGGAATGGCTTGCGAGGCTGCTGAGAAACCAAAGCAGTTCAGGTGTCCAGGGGCCCAGAGTAGTTCAAGAGATATAAATTCAAAGTCAAGTTCTGACTCCTTCTTCCTCTTCTACCCACTCCCTTCAGCCTCCATCATGTGGAACACCTCTGATGCCAACTTTTCCTGCTACCATGAGTCCGTGCTGGGCTATCGTTACGTGGCAGTTATCTGGGGGGGAGGGGGGTGGCTGTGACAGGCACTGTGGGCAACGTGCTCACCCTGCTGGCCTTGGCCATCCAGCCCAAACTCCGTACCCACTTCAACCTGCTTATCGCCAACCTCACAGTAGCTGATCTGCTCTACTGCACCCTTCTCCAGCCCTTCTCTGTGGACACCTACCTTCACCTGCACTGGAGAACTGGCGCCACCTTCTGCAGAGTTTTTGGGCTCCTCCTCTTTACATCCAACTCTGTCTCCATCCTCACCCTCTGCCTCATTGCCCTGGGATGCTACCTCCTCATTGCCCACCCTAAGTTATTTCCCCAAGTGTTCAGTGCCAAGGGGATAGTGCTGGCTCTGGTGGGCACCTGGGTGGTGGGTGTGGCCAGCTTTGCCCCCCCCGGTCTGTCTATATCTTGGTGCCAGTAGTCTGCACCTGCAGCTTTGACCGCATCCGAGGCTGACCTTACACCACCATCCTCATGGGCATCTACTTTGTGCTTGGGCTCAGCAGTGTCGGTGTCTTCTATTGCCTCATCCACTGCCAGGTGAAGCGTGCAGCACAGGCGCTGGCTCAGTACAAGCTGCACCAGACAAGTATCCCATCCAGCCACGTGGCTGGAACAGATGAAGCCATGCCCAGTCATTTCCAGGAGCTGGACAGCAGGGTGGCATCAGGAAGGCCCAGTGAGGGAATTTCATCTGAGCCAGTCAGCACTGTCACCACCCAGACCTTGGAAGGAGACTCATCAGAAGTGGGGGACCAGAGCACCAGTAAGGTAGCTAAGCAGATGGCAGAGAAAAGCCCTCCAGAAGCACCTGCCAAGGCCAGGCCAACTAAAGGAGCCCAAAAAACTCAGGACTCTCCATCAGAGTTTGGGAAGGTGACTCGGATGTGTTTTGCTGTGTTCCTCTGCTTTACCCTGAGCTACCTCCCTTTCTTGCTGCTCAACATCCTGGATGCCAGGGTCCGGGCTCCCCGGGTTGTCCATATGCTTGCTGCCAACTTCACATGGCTCAATGGTTGCATCAACCCTGTGCTCTATGCAGCCATGAACCGCCAGTTCCGCCAAGCTTATAGCTCCCTCCTAAAACGAGGACCCCAGAGTTTCCGTAGGTCCAGAGTTTCCATAGGATTCGCTAGAACTGTGTTCCATTCACCAGAATCTGGGACTGTTTCATCCAGAACTAGAGTGGCCAGCTGGCATGGGAGTAGATGAAAGTAAGACCTGTGGCCATTTTCACACACAACCTCCCCCTAACCCCCAAACCAGACCTCTCTATCTCTTGCTCAATGTTTCAGCCTTAGGCTGCCCAAGTTGCATTATTAATTATTAATAAATGAATTCCATGCTTTTAATTCTCAGGTATGGTCTTTGGGGAAGAAGGAAATAGGCCAGTGTTGGTTTGCAACTGAAACTTAATAGTGGGGGGGGGGACCCATGTCAGAGTAAGAGCAGGAAGCAGTGGGCCAGGGACATAGTCTTCAGCTGAGGAATTTCTAGGTAAAAAACATGTGAGTTTGTTTAAGAGGATTAATCTGCTTTTTAAAAAAACTTCCCAGAAATGGTCCCTACCCCTATCTACTGCTGCCAGGACCCCCCCCCCCAATCCCTACAAACAGATGTTTTTCAGCTCAAAAAAATTTTTTAAATCCAGCTTTGATAACAACTTCAGTGAGGCTAGCCCCTGGCTCTTGCCTTATCCAAAGAGAATGGTCATGAGAGAGGACTCTCACTCTGTGGAAGTGGAACTGAGCTTAGCTGAGGCAATGATTAGACAAGAGTTCTAGTTGCCCTTGCAGGATCACACTGGATGGAGCTAGTTTACCTGACCCCTCACTTCCCCCAGACTTGCTCTTGTCACCTGGGTTATGAAAGCAGAACAGAGATTCTAGTTAAGAGGGCTCAGGGGCTGGGCTGAGGGGAAATCATACCACTCCCTTCCTCCAGACTGACCAACATCCTGTGCACCCTTGTGCACTCACACACCCGAACTTAAAGCATCCATGACCACCAGATGACGCTGGTTCTCTGTGTTTTCTTTCTGGCTTCCTTGTTGAGGACAGAAGGTGTCAAAGGGACTGGGAGTCCAGAGGTACCCCCTCCCCTTTCAGCAGGAGTGGAGACCCGGGTATCTGTATAGGTCCCTTTTCCTCAAACTTAGGAAGAAAAGTAAAGAATTAATTATACATTTATTATTCATGAGATATTTATCGTGTACAGTACTTAGTTAGGGTGGTGGGTCAGGGTGGGCATACTGCTGGCACTGGGGATGGAATGGGAGAATCATGTTGACAGTGACACTGCTCTGGCTGCATGCTGTTCCCTCCCTGCCCCCAAGTCCATGGTTTGAGAGAACAAAGTCAAGTCCAGAGAGATTCAGATAGTGGGGTGGACAGATCTATACTCTCACATTTAACATACTTCCAGGGCCCAGGAATTCTGCCTCCTAATCTGGAACATGAGCTTCTGAAGTGACCTCTTCCACAAAAATCACAGCAGCCTAAGCTGAATCAAGTTCAGGAGTTCAAGGGTACTGAGGCAGGGAGGGGCCCCCACAGGTGGGGTGAACAATAAAGGACCAAAAAGAACATGTGCCCAGCAAAATCAAGTTGATTTTGCTCAGTGGTTCGAGTGTTGTCCCATGGACTGAAGGGTCCAGGGTTCATTTCTGACCAAGGGCACATACCTTGGTTGCAGGCTCTATCCCTGGCCCCCGTGGGGACGCATGCAGGAAGCAACCAATTGATGTGTCTCTCTCACATCGATGTTTCTCTCTCTTTCTCTCCCTTCCACTCTCTCTGAAAAGCAATGGAAATAATATACTCAGGTGAGGATTAAAAAAAGAGAGAGAGAGAGAGAGAGAGAGAAAAAAGAACATGTGCTGAGTCTGACCTCAGTACCAGCCCACCTATCTAACCATAACAGGACAGCAGCCTTTTTAAAACTAGAATCAAGTGACCAATTGATCCCTAAGTCCCTTTTGCTCAGACCTTCTAAGGTTCTGGAAGTTGCCCAGGAGTGTAGAGACCAGGGTTCCAGTCAAGGTTCTCTGATAATTAGCTGTGAACCTGGGCAGAACTCTTGACCATTCTGGGCCTCAGGCTTTATTATCTGTACAAAGATGGGGGTGGGGTGCACTCTTATGTGCCCCAGTACTGTCCTAAATATACAGGGCACATAAATCCTATAACTATATTATTTGTGTAATCCCCACAAAATTTACCATAAGGTACCTCTTATAATATCTTGTTTCCAATAAATAAATAAATAAATAAATAAATAGGCAATTTGGGTTAAGCAATTTTCCAGTCAAAGGGCTAGTAAGTGGTATGAGCATGAGTTGAGGGCTGAGTCTGACCTCAGTACCAGCCCACCTATCTAACCATAACAGGACAGCAGCCTTTCTAAAACTAGAATCAAGTGACCAATTGATCCTTAAGTCCCTTTTGCTCAGACCTTGTAAGGTTCTGAAAATTGACAGTTCTCTGAAAGTTTGTAAGTGTTCAGTTTTCATATTCCATGAAAACAATTTAAAAGTTTTAGCAAGTAGAAATGAGCAGCAATAGGGATTGAGGTTAGACCTCAGGAGGGACTTCCCAATTATCAGTCGCTGGAAAGAAATGACTCAAGAGGACACAGGAAGAAACTCTGGAGTCTGAGATCCAAAAGGACAGATCTTAGCAAGAAAACAACCCCCTCTTCTCCCACCCTCTACAGCTCAAACACACACCCCTCCCCCACCCTCCACCCCCTCAATTTCGATTAGGGCTGAGTGAGCGGAAAGAGAAAGAAGATTCTCGCTCAGGCTTTCTCTCTCTGGCGGGTGTGCATGGTGCGCGTGAGTCCACGCCTGAAGTCCCTCATAATTCGGAGCCCACGGGTGTCTCGGGAGAGTATGTGCATTTGGGGGCCCTCCTGAGTGTGAGTCAGTGTCTGTCTCCTTGCCCCTTTCTGTCAGTGTCGCGCCGGAGCTCTATCTATGACTTTCTGATGTTCTCTCTCAAGACTTCTCTTTGTCTCTCCATCTGTCCGTCTGTTCTGCAGGCTGTCCTCACCTCCCAGTACCTCTGTTATCGCCTTTTTACTCTTAAGCTCCTTCTCTCCATCCTCCCGCTCCACTCTCCTCCTGTCCGCTCCCCTGACCCCCGCCCCCGCCGCTCTAGCTCGGTCACACACTCTCTCTCTTTCGCTGTCTCTCACAGACAGATTTATGGTTAACACAGGGCCTTTGATTGGCCAAGCGCTGACAGGACTTGATTTAACGCCGCCTCTCATTGGCTGAGTTTGACAGGCCGATTTACGAGTCACTCTACCATTGGCCAAACCGCTTCGGCCCTGATTTATGGCTCAGCGACTGCGGGGAAGGGGGGAGCAGCGGGGAGTGAAGATGCCCCTCCCTTCGTCACCTCTTCCGTCTTCCTCTCCCCAGGTTTTTCTCCTCTTTCTCTCCCTCCCCTCAAGGAACTCCACTCCCTCTACCTGTTCCTCAAGCCCCCTCCTCCCTCCTCTTTCACCCTGCGGGAGGGGGAAATGGAGTGTGGTGGTGGGAACTGAAACGGAGGATGGGGTCTGAGGGGGTAAATTTGGGCGGAGGAATCTGAGGGGTGGGAGTGATGGTGGAGTAAGGGGAGAAGAGACGACTGAACAGGGAGGGAGGAGAGAGGATACTGACCTGAAGAGCTAAGGGGAAACTGAGGAGGCCAAAGGGGTGACCAAAAAAAAAAAAAAAGCTGAGGAGAAAAGACCGAGGGAGTGAAAAAGGAGGTGATCAGAGGAGAAGAAAGAAGGAGACTGAAAAGAAAGGGCGCATTGAAGGAGGCAAATGGGCTGAAACGGGGAGATCGGGAACTGAGAGAGACTTCCGTTCAAACATCGCTGTCCAGATTGAATAAGAAGGGAAATTTGCTCTTCAGACAGTGGCTCTAAAAAGGGGGGCTTAGAGGAGCAAAGGCTTAGAGAAAAGCTCAATAGAGAGGTGAGAGAGGAGCCGGAGAGGAGAACTGGAAGGTAATAGCAAAGAAAAGAGGGAGGGAGAAGGACGGAGAAGTACTGCAGAAGACTGGACTAGGGTGGTTTTTTATTTGTTTGCGGGGGCGGGGTGGTGAGAAAAGTCTAATCCTCAGAGGAACTACTAAGAGAAACAACTCCTACTCCTCCTCTCAATGAAGACCCATAGGTGCTGGCAAGAGGACAAGCCAGGTGCCTCCTGCAGGAGATTTTCTACTTCCTCCAGGCTGCAGTAGGCTCCCCATTCCCGATACACCTCATTCCTCCCCTTTGCCCACCTCCCCAGTCAAATTTATGAGTTCAGGGCTGGTCTTCAGGAATTAGGAATATTTATGCTTCTTTGAGGGTGAGGTTTGGAAGGTGATAAATAAGGGGCTGGGGGGTGCAGTTGGGGGTTCCTATTTTTAGCGTGGCCACTTTCCCAAGGCCCCCACCCACCATTTCCCTCTCATCCTAAACCAGAGAAGGGAGCACTGAGGGAGGTGGAGAATGAGTTTCACATATCAGGCAGGAGGGTTAACTCTCCTGGAGAGCCCCTCAGAGGACTACAGATCTTTGCAGCAGAAAGGATTGAAGGCAGATGGGAGAGGAACTTTCCAAGCATCCTGGCATTCACATAGCCCCTGGAGTGCAGTTACAGCATTTCTGCAGAAGATAGAGAGAAACAGGGAGAAACCAGTTTCCCCTCTGCTGCCCTAAGCTCAGTTCCTGAGGAACAGGAGAATTGCCAGGAAATTCAGAGGCAGGTTTCTTTGGCAAGTCACCTCCCTCACAGGGAGAGGAAGATTTGAAATCTTCCACCCCTCCCCCCCACACGCCACAGCCTGGGTCCCTGGGAAAGGAGGCTAGGAATGTGGGGCTCAGGGCGTCTCCAAGGAGTCTCAGTCCCCAACCAGTCCACCCCCACTGCTGGCTGAGAATCAAAAACCCCTTGCCCTGGGCCTCCAGGAAATGAGGGAGGAAAGAGGATCTGTCCAGGGATCCACATGCCTTCTCCAGCACTCAGCTCCAAGAGCCATGTGTCTGTGACCCCCAGCCCAGTGAGAGGGCTTGTTCTGGGCTTGGGTAGGTAGTGAACAAAAAGTGGGGTCCATGATATAAGAGAGGTCTAAAGAGAACAAAGAGAGCTAGGGAAGAGCTCTCATCCCCCAAGCACACACAAGCAAGGATGAACACAGTTCATGCGTGTGCACACACACACACACCAG